CACGACAGTACAGTACAGAAAACGTCTGTAGAGATTTGTGAACCTACCCGAAATGTTCTGTGGGTTCTGTACGACCTTCTCACAAACCCGATTATATCTGTGGAGTCCTGTGACACTTCCAATACCTACCCCATAGTTCTGTGAGTTCTGTGACAACTTCGGATACCCTAAAGAACGTTACAGACCCTACAGAACATACCCTTGCAAACGTCAATTTCGGGTCGAGGCTCTAAAGCCTTATTTCTGGAGCTAACACCAGCATCAAGGAGTAAATTTCTTATGCTGAGTTTATTGCTATTTTGGCTGTCGGATCCTCGTGGTTTTTTTTAAATGGCCGTTTCGTATTGCTTGGCTCTATTGCTGACGAGATGCTGCTCGACGACCTGGCCTTGACCCGCTGTCAGCTCTTTTTGGTCCTTGACATCCCACAACTTCTCCAAGCCTTCGAGCGCGGCGCTGGAAAGCTGCTCGGCCATCACGAGGCAATCCGGACGAAGCAAAGCTGACAGCTGACCACGCGAAGCGGGTCTACGCCCAGCAGGGGTCGCCGCAAGTTCACGCTCAATACCAACACCCACCCCAAGTCAACACAAAATACAGTTGGCCGGGGGCGTGTGTAGGTCAGAGTGCGATTGTGTTTCTTACGAGGCACAATGAGCTCCAGTCCCCTAGTTTCTTTCATGCCTCTGTGGGCGTGTCTTTTCTTATTCGAATGTTTCTTATCTTTGCATCCGTTTTGAGTTGTGTTTCTTGGTCACTTCTTAATTTTTATGAAAAGTTCAGGGTTTTTTTCTTCACAAAAGATTCTTAACGGCGGGGCCCAACTGTACTCCGTTCGTGTTTGGGGGATTGGTCGAGAGTGGGCCCGCTCTCGGGTCTCTATTTCAGCCCTCCCGGTCTCCTCCATCGTACGGAACCACTAGCCTGTTTGGGTGGTGTTTAGTTTTTGTTTGTTTTGCTCTGTTTTTTTTCGCTGTGTGCTTCATCGATCCGTGACGCTTCGTTTGCCTCGGGCCATCAACACTCGGCTAACAACACCCAACGCACTCCGCGTGTTTCATATCGAAGGTGGAGAAACCAAATTCCTCAGGATGCCTACGGAACGCAGCAGATACAACTTCAGACATAAAGTGGACAGCTACTCTAGGAGAGGGATCGGGCTGTTGCTGTAGGTAGCTGCTGCTCGTGATCTGCATGTTGTTGAGAACTCCCTGACCTGATGTGCCTTCGTGTCGTTTCTATAAACTGTGCCGCTTGCCCCACCATATGACTGCAATCTGTACTCGAACGTACCGCGAATTTCTTCGCTTGCACAACATGCACCTGTGCCGGCGCGCCTGCGTGTGCGCATCGATTTGTCGCGTCCTGCCTCTGCGCCGCCGACTAACTTTCACAGCATCAACATTTTCAAAATGTTGGGATCGAGTCTCTATTGTAGTCCACCTGGCTGGCCACATCTACGGATCTGAAGTTTTGATTGATGTGAGAGTCTGCTGTGTGCTCTGTCGAACGGTGCACATCGACTCAGCTGACAAGACCCGTCTTACTTCATCGAACAGATTAGGACCCGGTTGGTTGAAGTGGACGGTATGCGGGGTCGCATAGCTGTATGCATACTTGGGATCCAGGGGGGGGGGGGGGGGGGTCAGGCACATGCCAGCTTCACGTGATGCTTGAGTTGGATCAGCACTAAGCACCAAGAGTGCGTTTGAAACGTTTGGTGCGCAGCATCCGCTGTGAGCATTTTGTTCGCTCCCAAAACAGTAGGCCTCGATTCGTGGCGCGTCATTTTCTTGTACTGGTGCAAAGGCCACGGCGTGAGGCTCCGGGGCGTCGATTCCAAATGTAACCAGATTTCACCGAATCCGGCCAAACCATGGCTCGTGTGGACCACACCGTCGAAAGCGTGCCCACGGCTACAGGAAGTGGGACGGACGCTACACACGATATCAGTAGGCCCTCCAAGCGGCTTGCGCTGTTTGCTTGCTAGGGGCGAGCTATATGATCTCCAAACTTCCGGTTGATTTCTTAACGATAGCGCTGTTGGCCGTCGTTGACGTGGGGTTCGTTCTCTTCTTGTCGCAACAAGGTCGCGAGGAGGGACAAGTGTCTCTCGAGAGTGAAAGGTTACGTCAAGGGTGTATCGTGCGACGCCAGAACGGGAAGCGAAGTTTGCCCTCGAGATACAGTGGGGTAGGAGTGATCCTCCACCACTTGTGGCTACAGGCGCTCCTCACAGGCAACGGCCACAAGATGTAGTCTTATCAAAAGTGCCCGATTAAGAGGCACACTTCCAGGACAGATATAAGGACGGAAGTGACAGCAGCGGGAGCTGGGCGAGGGCGAGCCCTCTCGCATCATGTCCCAGATGCAAGGAACCGACAAAGTGCCGAGGACCCCACATGGAAGGCGCCTCGCTCGGTGCACTCTGTACACACTGGCTTGTGACTCGGAGCAGTGGTACAGATTCGCTGATCGCGGTGCGGATCTTCGCGCAATCTCTCTTTCATTGTTGTGTTTGTCGTTTTTGGCTCTGTTTTGTCCGTTTGCGACGGCTTACCTCTTCCTCAGTGGTACTTTGCCGAGATGGTGATCTTTGGAAGGATATCAGGAAACTAATACCCAGCCTCCCAGTGTTATTTGTCTCGATGTTCTTTTTCGTACACCGGTGGGGCGCCCACAGAAGGGGTCGACCTCCCCGCGATTAGCCCCCGATACTACTTGGCTTGAGTGTGCCGGTCGAGCCGCGATACGGAGAAGCGGATTACTCAGCCTTCAGGGAGTGATCACGAACGGGACTTGGGGAGTGTGCAGGTCTAGCGTGCGACCAAACAGACGGCTGGCTGCTACCACGGAAATGTGTGGAGGGGAATTAATCGGGGCCTCGCCGATTTGGCCTGTAAAAAACAGTCTCGATTTTATCTAATATAATTGCCGCATTGGGGCGCCCGCAGAAGGTGTCGAACCCCCCGCGATGAGCCCCCGAATACTACTTGGCTTCAGTACAGTATGCTTTCGAGCCGTGACACGGAGAATTGGACTGCTCACCGAATCACCCATTTCGTCGCCCACAGAGAATGATCACTAACCACACTTGATCCGACCAAACTACAAGACCTCCGCTACAGTTCCCCCCCCCATCACAGCAGCTAATTCAGTGCAGGGGAATCAATCGGGCTGCTACCGTCTGCTGTTGCTGGACTGGCCAAGCGCACCAGAATGTGTCGAGAGGCACCTCCGATTCGACGCCCACAGAGCGATCCGGGGTGTGACATCTTCACCCACAGCAGTCACTATGAGCATCAGGTTATACATGCCGTGGTTTGTTTCGTCTGGAATAGAGCATGCGGGCTTGTAGGGCTGTCTGACTAGCTCAGCTAGTGCCCACAGAGGGCGGGGGCTTTTGACGGCGAAGTTTCTTTGTTCGTGTTTGCTGACTGCGGATCCTTGACGTACAGGGGGATTGAGGTTTCTGACCCCTACACCGAGAGTGAAGTATCGATTGGCTTCGTTGCTTTTGCTTAACCCTCGAGAAGGTTCTCGCAGCTACAGGCAGGTTCTTTTCTCATCGCCAACCGTGCACTCGGCGGCGTGAACTTTTCGAAAAATAAGCTCGTTGTTGCGACCCTTAAAGTGCGAGACAAATAACAATGCTCCCCATGAGAGACGCGGGACGCCGTTGAATTTCAGGACGCGCCCGCAAGCAAGAAGCGTAAGATATGGGTTGCGTCAATTTCCTATTTTTCGACCGAACCGCCAGCCTATCTTGCTGATTTTCTTCGCAGTGTCCTTTTTTTTTTTTCATCAACATGACCCAACGAATCCATCTCTATTTATGGGGCGTTGAAGGATAGAATATACCTGTGTTCTTGTAATGCATCGTTTCTGCCGTCCACGTCGTGCTTCTCCCGATCGAGGTGGTGGGGAGTACCATCACGGCCGCTCACGTATGAGAACCATGACGCGCGCGTGGCCACTCAAGGCCACTTCTAAGGGGGGACCGCTTAGAACACAGACACCCACCTACACACCAAAAAAAAAAACAATTACACAACCACACGAGGAAAAAACAATTACACACCCACACGAGGGCAGGGGTGGGCGCTGGACTTACTTGCGTGCGCATTCTGTACAACAGAATCAGACTGGTACTGTATGTGGCGGCAGCCGTCGAAAGTCGAAAGTGTGGCGGCGTCAGCCGTCGAAACCCTTGAACTACTGCTGTACGTAAGATGTCCGCCAGGAAAAAACAAGTCAAGGATGAAGATGAACGACCTCACACGCAGCGCCAGCTCGAGCTCCTGCTGCTCATTCCCCTATTGTTTGATCTGAGGGTTGCTACTATTTCCAAGCAAGACGGCAACACGTGCACGTACCTGAAAGTGAAACCGCGGCGGCGGCTGGCTTCAACAGCAGGAGCTTTTCGTCCCGGAGCTGCTTCTTGCTCTCCCGGGGATGCTCCAGCTGCTTCGAGAGGAACTTGCGGTCAGTGATGCCGAGATACGCAGGTCCTCCAGAGAGAGCAGCCGACAGCCTCGATCTTCGCCTCCACCGCCTTGATGTCCTTCTCTACGGCCTCGATCTTGGCTTGCGTCGCCGCGATGACAAATGGCGGTTGCGTAGCCGGCGCAATGCTGCCGATCCCGTCCCCATCGCCGTGCATTCTAACCTCGTGACCGGTCATACCCATAGCCGAGTTGTGCGAGAGGCTCCACCTCACACGACCCCACCGCAATCAGGTGTTGGGGGGGGGGTCAAAATATTTGAGTATTCAGACGCGGAGCACCCCTTTTTTTTCTTTTCTTTTGGAATGAAATAGAAACAGAGAGGAGAGGAGACCCAGACAGCTTGCTAGGGACGGTAGGGAGCAGCAGGCGGGGAAGGAAAAGTTGCCAGAGGCAGGAGTCGTCACAAACCTTGGAGGCGGAGACGGGGGCGAAAGAAAGGGGCAAAGGAAGAACCAAGTAGACGGCCTACCTCTTGGTTCCGGAGAGTCAACAATGGCGGCAACACGACCGCCGGACGAGGTAAGCGTTGAGAGGAGGGACACCTACATATAATGTCGTAAGTCATAATACCTTGGTCCCTTCTGTCGGCGTCGCGTCATGAAGGGGCTCACCTCCAAATCCGTTGGTCTTCGAGAAGACGCTTGGTTTCACAAGAGCATCGCACAGGGCTGACGCCAAACTCGGACACACTTACTTTCCTCTGGCCGTTCTCAACAACACCTAACGGCGGTGGTGGTACGTTGATTCTTCTGGGGAGCGCAAAAAATCACCCAAAAAAATAGCTAAAATTTGGGACGACGGATGACCAGAGCAGCAGCAAACTGTCAACGGCTCCCCGTGAAAAGGACTCCTCCTAGAAATGTCGCGCAGACCGCCCTTGCTTCCCTCTCCCGGCGAGACGTCTAGCAAGGTTGGTGTAACGGTTGCACTAGGTTGCGCTGGCTGCTTGAGGACATGGGGGATTTATTATCGCCAAGGCGGGTCTAGACAAATTTGAGACACCAGTTCTTGTCCGTTATTTGCTTCCCGCCGTCAGCCTTGTTGCTGCACCCAAGCGACCAAAAGTACGGTTGGATATGGTGGTGGAACGGTCTGACTTGTTACTGCATGCCTCGCCCCCCGTGTTGCTTCGGGCGGGCGGGCGGCAGGCAGCAGCGTGCGCGACGCACCGCCGCCACCGCCGCAGCCGTACGATGCAAAGAGGCCGAACATCCACCTATTATTCTCTGTGGCCCATAAAAGGAAAGTTCCAAGTTCTGAAAAAAGTCAAAAAAAATGTTTTCTCATTCCCACGAGCGCAGGGATTTTGTTCCTCGCCTTCGTGTTGTTGCGAGGGGGGCAAGGCAGCAGGACAGCCATCGAAGTATCGACAGCACGCCTTCTTTCTGCACCTTGGCGAGGGTAAGAATTCCAACGTACGTGCACACGTTCAACTCCATGCATACAAGCGCGCGGGGGACCTGTGCTCTGGCACGAGAGTGACTGCCCGTTCGTTCCGGACCAACTGCTGCTGTATGACCCATCCGTCTCCGTCTCCCGGGGACCCTTCCAGCACGTTAGCACCTATGACAGCAGCAATGTCATCCCCATGGCGTTTGTGTACGGTCCAGAGCAACACAGCCGCGATGCTCTGCATCGTTCCAGAGTTGTGGTTGGGATCCCTCTTGCCAGATCGATCCATCGAACGCATGCACGCGTGCATCCGCCCGCGCCTCAACGAACAAAACAACACACAAAGGTGCATGAATAATCCCATCTCTGCGCAAGCGGCGGGGCGCGTGGTCGCAGTGGCATCACCACACGGCAAGGTGTGATATCCGCCTCCACATGTGCGGCTGCGGCATCATCAGCGCTTCGGTGCTTCAGCAGCAGCTGTGCCATGTGCTTTCCTTCCGAAGGCGATAGAACGAGTAGTGTTTACACATTGCAACGCCGGTCTTTCGGTGTTCTAGTATATTTTACTATCAACCGTGGACCGTGAACGGGTGTTGGCGCCAAGCTCCGCGTTTTTTAAGGTCTGCCGTTGTTCAAGGTCTCCATAAAGTTGATGGTATTCCTGTGCATACAACTACATACGGCAGTGCTACATAAAGGCATTGTAGTGTTGTGTAGTGGTGCTGTAGGCGTACGTATGCATGCGCAGGAACAAACTGATTGATAGCAATTTTTACTTTGGAAAATAAAGACGATGGTGCAAACGCGGGCACACCGACCAAAAGAGAGCAAAAACGCTGCCGCGCTTTTTTGAGCTTGATTATACTTGTAGGGAGAAGGGGAATCACACCGCAATTTTGTCGGCGTTGAAACCAAGGGCAAACTGGAGAAAACCGCCACAAACACACACACCCAACCCGTTCCTGTGACTTTTGCACCAGCTCTTCTGCACCCCACATGCAAAAAAAAAAAACTTGCCCCTGCCGACACTACGGCTGTGTGTCGGAGTCTGTTACAGTAGGTGGTCTGCGACGGTGTTCTTGTTGCATGCGGTGTTCTTGTTGCATGCTATCCATAACTGTGGGTGCTTGTCCTCACACCGAGCTCCTGGTCCCCCCGGTCTTGAGGGTCTGCTTGGCTTCCTGCCGGCCTGCTGCGCGCGCGTCGGCCTGTACGTAGTCGGCAGTGGTCGTGTTTCGCGACGGATCATTTTTGTGCCGAACACTTCGCACCGCCTTTTTAAGGCTGGCGGGAGCCCCTCCTGTTCTATCTGAGTGGCCGTCCCGCCACCTACAACTCGGAGTACAGATGTACCTTCGACGTCATGAGCTACATAGCTTGTGCTCTCCCTTGTGCGTCTTGGCCAAGAGTCTAGCGGGATTCATTTCGTTTTCAGCTTGCCCTGGTGCAGGCAACAGGCAACGGCCCTGGGGAGGGGGTTGGTGTAACACTGCTGTGCTTGTAGCGGCGGTTAACGCTTGAGAATTGCTTCGCTGATGCGCGGAAAATGTTACCATGTTGTGGTCTTCACCTCGAAAAACCGTTCCCGGTCTGTGTTCAGACAGTGAACTGGCCGTTACATTTATGGTCTGTGAACTGAAGGAAGGAACTGCATTGGTTGCGGCTACCCTTTTGTGTACTGCACATACGTGCCAACGTAATGTCTAGCCAATCCGGCCAAACAGAAGCGAACATGTCATGAGATGCTCGGTCTTGCAGGGGCTCGGTAAATGCCGGTCTGTGGTTGACAATCCCGGGAACACCCGGCTCTGCTGTGCGCCGCTGCAAACCCAAACCACAAAACCATCGCTTTTAACAATTACTGCTGCTGCTGCTGCTGCTGCTGCATGCAGGCGGTTGTGTTTCTCTTCCGATTCGGGCATGACGGGAGCAGCATGGTGGTCACCATGGCCGACGCGGAGAGGGTGCTCGACACGGCGAGCAAGACGAGGCTGTGCCGACGGGACCCCGAGTTGCTTCTCGAGATCTTCATGGAGAACTGCGGTGCTGGTGAGAAGCAAGGGAGGGGGGGGGGGGGGGGGGGGCGTGTA